GAAATGCAGTCTAAGATGTCAAAAGAATTATAGCTTTAGATGTAAGAAGTGCAACTGCTTAAGCTGATTTAACAGTGTCTCATAAGAAAAAAGATTATGAATGTGAAGAGAATTATTTGCATAAGTTATTGACTAAATAGCAAGACATTTTGCATGTTTATTTTTAAATTGTTCTTAATTCTACAAAAGTAAAAATCCAAGATCCACAGTGCTAAGAACAGCAAAGTAAAAGTTGTTATCCAATATAAGTATTTCCTAAGTGCAACTGCCTGAAAACAATTTCCAGCAGTCTCTAAAACATTTACGGTGCAAAAACGCTTTCTAAGAAAGGTTTTTGCTCTCTTTTGAAAAATCATTAGGGGTAAGATTTCAAAGCCTTTGGTAATGCTATGAGAAAAGGGCCTTGCTGTGGTTCCGAACAGAAGTACTTCTGAGGGCACTAGATATGCAAGAGGATCTCAGCTGAATACCTTCATAACCAGAAGACCTTCAGTTACACATCAGAAAAAGGGTTTAAAGGTAGCTTCTAGTAAGGTTGCAGTGAAATGGTGGAAAAGAGTTATATTCTTATTGTTGATGCATTTCTACTCTTAGGGAGGGGTGCTTGTGGCAAGATAACGGCCAGCCTTGGGTGCTGTGTGCCATGATTTGTAGGTGGTGCACCATTTGCAGTTCTCTTTCAGGCAGCAGATTGTCTTGGGATAGCTCTGGCTAAGGGGCATCTCCAGCACTTTGTACTGCGTCTGGAAACCATTGAGAAGCAAGGTCACACGTTTCCAGAAGATGACACAAAACAGTATTGTTTTATTGTGCATGGTTGCCCCCCCCCCATTTAAAACTGTAAGCTACCTTGTTAATTCTGCAGCTGTTGCTGAGATCCTTACACCAATCATAACAGCTGCAGCAACATATCATCTGAGGGAGTTCAGAACATGAGTATGACTTGATTGCAGTTCCCCATCTCGATCTCCTTATCTCCCTGATTATGATTATTATTTACAGTACTGGTGGTGGCTGTGAAATAAGAGAAACATTTTTTCTTCTCTTTTTGGCATACTGGCCCATGTTTCTGTTACACCAGAATGCAAAATAGATGATACATTGGTAAAAGAAGAGATCTTTTGAGGCTTTTGAAGAGACCTAAATGGGTCCCAAGAGAGAGAATAAAATCCTAGAGATGGATTTCCATGCTCCTCACATCTGTACGACTACCCCCTATGCACAAACAGCTGGGACTTCACATGATTGGGACAGCTGCACAACCTGGAGTTCCTTTGTGTGAACAGTGCTCATATGCAGGTGTTCATTCACAGACAATATTGCTAGTGTGTGGACTTCAGGGTCACAGGCCAATCTGGGGTATGAAGTTGGGGCAGGAGCACAGTCTCATTTGTGCTTCAGCTTGGCATTTCCATAGGCATGAGTAGCACATGCTAGGGCATATCTGATGAAGAAGACTGACTACAGTTTGGAGTGCTAGCCACACAAAACCAAACATATGAAGGCCCTTTGAAATGCAGTGGTTTCATGTAGATGGATAAGCACTGAAGTTTGTAACATGTACAACTACTCTGCAGATTGTACTCCAGTGTTTATCTTATGTAGCGTAGATCTAATAAAATGAGTGAGACTTAAGTTAGTTATGACTAATTCCACCCCATTCATTTCAGAGGGTGTCCTCTACATAGGACTGACATTGCTTATTACCATACATTTGTGCATGACTCTGTTTCAGTATTTCCATACTGTATAATGAGAATCCATTTGGGTTTTCTTGCTTTTTTCTTTATTCTTCTTCTGTTGGCTGAGAACGATATATACCTTTTCATATTCAATTTTCCCATTTTCCAGCAAGATATTTACCAGGACATAATTAATTAATTAGTGAATCAATAATTAGTAATGATGACTTCCATCTCCATGTCCATATCAGTATGCAAAAGATGTGCCAAGATGATTTACTGCAGAATATCCAATGTACTACTTTGGAAACAGAAATGGTGTCTTTTCACAGTGCCAGACAGCTAGCTTTTAGCACAAGAGCTGAAATAAGGGCTAATGCACTGAATCGTGATTGAAAGGAAAATACAACTTTTCACTCGAAAATGAATATAGGTTGGATAGCTCATTGCTGTAATCCTGAAGCCAGGTGTTTCATTTTTCTATTTTTCTTTTTTTGGTACGTGTTCATCACTGCAAGCTACCAGCTAACAACTAACACTTGCTGGTGTTACATGCTAATGGATTGCAACCCCCTAAGGGCCCAATTGTATTGGGAGGGTGAAAGAAGGCAGATGAAGCACTGCTTTTACATTAAAGTATCAGGACCTCAGAGGTCACGAAGCCTCTTAGCCTGTTCAAGGCTTCTGGGAACACAGAAAGTCCCAGTCTTTCCACAGAGTAATGAATGGCACTTGCTGACTAGCTGTGTTTTTTCTGCCTTTTTTCTCTTGCTGTCAGCAGGGGTTAGTGCTGCTCAGCATAATGAGCCAGGATTGTGTGTGCCAAATACATACAGCTCTGAGAGTGCTTTCTCCCATGTTGGTTTGTAAGTTCACTTTTCTTTTTCAAGGATATTACACTGATCTAAGTACCAGTGGTGTCCTGTAGTGCTTTTCTTTAAAGGTTGATAAATGATGTCAGTGCACAGCAGAGAGCCTGAGATCAGGGGGCTGAAAGGATGGTCTGGCTGAACCGGAGAATGTCAGGCGAAGTGGCAATATCCAACCAGCCCTGGTGGAGGGCCCACTGCAGCAATTTTTAAAGGGTACAGTACTGAAACACAAGGCACCACGCCAGAAAGCTGCAGAAGCCACCATTTCTCCCTCCACAAAGACCTATAGGATGTGCTCCAACACAATCCCCTTCAGCAGCTCTATTTTGCGACCAAGAGGCATTTGGGAGAAAAAATATGGTGGCCGTTGCAGCTGTGATACTAGGTGCATTGGCAATGCGAGTCATCCCTGCAGCCCTCCTCCCCATAACAAAAAGCACCATTGCAGTATCCTGCACCTGCTGAGTTTTCTGAGCAGCGGCAATGATACCCAGCAGCGTTATGTTTTCTTTTCGTTTGCTCAACTGGTCCTGATAGGAGCAGTATGATCACAGGTGCTGCAGCAGCCTCTCCCTTCTGCGGCATGCCCTGGCAAGCTGGTTTGCTCATCAGAGAAGCTGCCGGGGTGATGTTTGTGTGGAGCACCTTGCCCAGGGACCCATAAGACATGGAGCCAAGGAAAGAAATACTAAGCTAGCTTTGGAATTACGCATCTCATGGATGCTTTCATGCAGTAATGAAAGCAGTAATGAAAGCAGTGCAGTAATTCATGGTACAGTATGAACACTGGATTTCCTAGCTGATTCCATAGTAAACATTTCTTTTCACAACCTATGCCCAAAGCCTACATCTGAATATGACTTGATAGTATTGTAATACTTGTTCTATATCTCTCAGGTGGCTGTTTGGGTTATATAACTTAATTCAGGTATATCATCTTTTCCTTTCATAACTTGGTTCTCTCCTGTCTCATTGTGTGCCATCCTGCATTTGCAGTTGTCCTATTTACTACAGCAAGTGTAGGTGAAGAGTACTTGAAACAGATGAGTGTAAGAATGGTTGAGAAACACACAGCTGTGTCCTCCCCTGCTGCAGCAGGAAAGTCCAGGTTGTAAACGAACACTCCTAGTTTGTGCAGTCACTAGATTATTCAGGGTTGGCTGCTCATGGCACAATTTAGGATTGTCAAGTTTTTATTATAGAATTGCATTTAGGAATGCTTCTAGCTTGTCTCCAAAATGGCAGACATTAACATGAACACAGGAGCTTTTGATTTCTGCCTGAAGTTGCCTATTTGCTCGCACGAACTGATACACCTCCTCACAAAATAGCTTCTGGTGTGTTCAGTATAATTGGACTAGCCGAACCTTTAATTCCGTTGCCATCTTCCGTCTTGTCTGTGGGACTTCTGACTTAAGTTTCCTGCTATCCATCCTGATGACATGTTGTGTGACACAGTAATGATACAAAGAGCACAGTGGATCATTGCATTCAATACTGCACAAACACCTATCCCATTCTGGTTCTTCCCAGGGATAGTGTCTATTTAATTTTGTGCTGACTCTCGCTTTTAATGTTTCTGAAATATTAATTCTACCCAATGATGTGCTCCCTTATTGTCCCATCCTTCCCACTTCTTACTGGCCATATCTTTTTCTGGAAATTTACTTGAGTTCTACTTTATATCTAATCAGTAATATTCATGACTACGTTGTCAGAAAGTAGTAGTGTTATTAATAATCTATATAAAGCACTTTAAATGTGTCAAGTACTTTAAAGTCATCCTTTCAATCATCACTCAGACAACACTTTGAGATAAGAATTAACATTTTTCAGAAGGTGAACTGCAGCCACTAATGATTTGCCTTAGGCAAGTCAATGGTCCATGGCTAACCCATGAATTCTGCTTTCCTAGGTTTGAACCCTTTGATCTCATAATTGTGGATCTGCACTTTGAGGAGCATTATTATTATTATTTTAGAGTGACTGGAAACATTCTGTGTCCCGGTGACAAATCTTATGGTGCTCATTGATGGCAAAGCAGTGAGGATAAATGGTTTTCAGTCTTATGCTCTAGTATATTACCAAAATGAAATGGCTAATAAGGCCAACTGATTCTTTACCCTAATATGGTTTTCCCCTCAGGCTAAGCAATGGCAAGCATGCGACAGTCTTTGCAAAGAGAGCTGAGGCAAAATTGGTTCCCTTTCCATAATTTATAGTTTGCCATTACAGCTATTTATACCATCAAATTAGAAAAGTGTTAACTTGACCCAAAGCATTTATTCTGGTAGATATTCGACTGTCACGTAGCAAGATTAATCTCATTTATAAAAGTAGCAGTCACAATGGAAATGCAGTGATATCAAAGAAATATCTTTCCTAACTAGATTGCTCCAGTTGTAGAGTGCAGATGGATAACACTAAATGTCTTACTGTCTTTCAGAAATGTACCACTTGCCATTTGCACTTCAATGGTTATCGTCACAGTTGGCTATGTGTTAACCAATGTTGCCTATTTTACAACAATCAGCCCTGAGGAGCTACTAATGTCCAAGGCAGTGGCAGTGGTAAGTCATGGTACAATGCATAAATAGTATAAATAGTCCTAAAGATTTCAGAATAATTTTCCTGATTATAGAGGAAACCATAATTTATAGGCTCTATTACTTAAAACTGCAGCATGGCATAAGGTTAAAAAATCTACTAGTAAAATTGATTCATATTTGTCTCTCTTTTGCCAGACTTTTGCTGAACGTTTACTGGGAAGCTTTTCCTTAGCTGTCCCCATTTTTGTTGCACTCTCTTGCTTTGGATCTATGAATGGTGGTGTTTTTGCTGTCTCCAGGTCAGTTAATGTTAGAATAAAAGGTGAGGGGAAAACAGAGGGATGGGGGCATTTTGTTTCGTTTGTGGTTTGCTATGAGGTTACCAACTTTGCACTTCCTAAATCAACATATGAACCAGAAAGTACTTATTCTTTAGTATCTATATGTTTCTGGATGGGATGATGTAATCATCCAAATGAAATATGCATAATTAGGAGAAAGTGCACAGAAAATGCATATATTTCAGAAAAGTGTGCAAAATCCATATCAGAGCGGGCAGATATATATGTATATGCATGTGTGTGTATGTGAGGGGGAACTACTCCCTGAAATGTATATGGTTTTTTTAAAGTACAAACTGATGTAGATTGGGGTAGAACAAGAAAAAGGCCGGTGAAATAAGAGACCGAGAGTATCAGAAATTGATAGAAGCAGCCATACTTAGTAAAGCAATCAGTCAGCATACCATATATAAATAAGACAATTCTCCAGAATGGACAAGCCTGATCATACTGCATGATACACTAACTAGGAGGCATGCAGTCAACCCTATCACAACCCAATCCATATCTAGACTACTGTATATGGGTAGGAGAACTTTAAACATTCCCCCGTCTGTTTATTTTCCAAAATTTGCTCCTCCACACATAAGGAGATACTAAGGAAAATATGGAAGGAATTTTCCATTAGTGGCAGTGGCATAGATGTGGGGAAAATTTGGAAAGCACATGGTTTGGGGGCAGGCTTGAACCTCACCTATGCATTGCCAGTGCTTCTAATCCAGATTGGGACCACATGCTCCTACTCTTGAGTAAAATCCAAAGCTACATGCTGTGTTGATTCCAGTACTGTGCTCTTTGAACTTCAATAACCACTTAATAAGGAACTTTGCACATTTTCTTTCTTTGCATTTGAGAATACTGGAGACAAACAAGGCATTCAATGGAAACTAGAAAACAGTAAGACTGCGATCTTGCACAATTTGTATTAATTCCAATGGTATTTATAACGTTTCTAATAATAGATTTCACTGACTGATTATTCAGTGATAACTGTTTATCTTAGGGAAGACAAAAAGGAAGTGGTGCTCAACAGTGCTCATTCTGGAAAACTGACAAAGATAGATTTTACTCAGGCCTATTTGGTAGGCTTTGGAAATCATTTTCTTAAGTACTGTGACATCAGAAGTCCTGATGCTTGTCTTACAAAGGGACAAATAGTACTGCTGAGGATAACTTTGAATGTGTTCTACATCTCTGGTGAGCAGCTTCCATTCATCTTGGTAATGAGAGTCTTTAAAAGCTGTCCAAATTTATTTTCCCACCAGGATGTTCTACGTCGCATCCCGTGAGGGTCACCTTCCAGAAATTCTCTCCATGATTCATGTTCGCAAGCACACTCCTCTACCAGCTGTCATTGTTTTGGTAAATCATACAAACAAATGTCTCTGTGCCAAGGCCACAGAGCATGGGCCTGTGCTGAAGGATTCAAATGCAACTTAAATACTTCCTGAATCTCTGTTATTTATTTCCATTTCATAGGTTGGCTGTGTTTGGAGAGGGATGGAAAGTAATTACGGAGGTGATCTATTTGAAAGACTCCTCCTCTGATTCTCTGTTAGTTGCATTTAACTCTCTCAGGCCAGCACTTAAATCACACCTCATTACGTTTTATTTGAAAGGTTGAATGAGAGTGATTAGCCAAGCTCCTCTCAATGGAATGAATCTTCTTAGATAGGGATGCAGAATAATAAAATCCTACATAAAGGCTACACACTAGTGTGAAGGCCCTGAAGTCCCATTATAGGGACTCTGCTGAGAAAATGCAAACAGCTGTAACAAAGAGGCATTGCTACCCCTCTTTAGGTTTTTGAGTTCGGGTTCTGAAATAATATTTCCTTTTTTATTTCTCTTAATCCAACTAATCTTTATGGCAGTTAGAAAATCTAAGACTGCTATCCTTACCATATACTTAAAATTAGCTGTTAGGATATGTGAGGCTTCTTTTCAAATAACATGTTTAAAGGCAATGCAGGCATTATTTTATGTGTGCCTCTACAGATTGTTTTCATTTTTACTCTAGAGTAGGTGCAGGGGTCCATATCTAGAACCCTTTGTGGCTGTGTGTCTATCTCTCTTTTTCATGGTTACACTAGGATAAAGACACTATGGCTATGCATAAAGTACATCTAAAGTGATGACTGTTTTGGGTCTAAGATTGGAACATATATTCCATCTTCTGTGGAAATAAAATGAAGCAACAGCATGATATATTTGGAATTTGTATGCCCTAGGATTCAAAGTGTTCCATTATCCCTGTCACTTATATCATAAAAACATCCTTGCTACTGGTAGAATAGTAACAAAGATTTTCAGTTTCCATATATTTGCATTTTGAGTTTATAACTGATTGAAAAATGCATAGAGGAGATGGATGTCTGAGGCTCAGTACCCTGAAGAATGATATTTACAAGCAAAAACATTTCTGCTCATTTCCAAGGCTAGTTAAAGAAGCACGAGTTTGTGTTGACTAGTAGCAGGCCTCATAAGCACTATGGAAATAACAGAAGTGCAGTGATAATATGGGTTGGTGCCTGTGATTTTTTAGAATCCAGATTGCACACAGAGCCCTCAAGCGGCAAGTATCCACGTGTGTAAAAAGAACTTCTGAGGCTGGTGGAGAGTTATGAGACCTGGTTTGTACCTAATGGGAAGCCACCATGGGTGAATTTCCTCAGGGGGTTTCTCATTGTCTTGGTACCTGTTATTAGTATAGTTGACCAGCTACCTGCAACCCTAAAAGAGTCCACAAGAGCTGGGCAGCTTGTCAACCTGCCTACAACTCAGACTTACTGCATTTGCTTGTACAATAAGCAATGGCACACTGCCCCCTCCCCCCCACTGTGGCTTGACTAGTCCAAGAGTGACCACTGCCGCAATGAAGAGCTCCCATAAGGATGTGCAACACTGTGAATTCCATTCTGTTTACATCTCACAATGGGATCTCAGAATGTTTCCATTCTGATAAGCAGCAGATTTAATTTTGGTACTCCACCCACCTCTTTTCAGGAAGTCCCAAAGTGGAGGATGAAATTTGCAAGTTGACAAGGAATATGGTTCTGCAGGGCAGAAAAGTATATGGAGAAGATCAAACTGTCATGGACATTTATAGTGGAAACAGATAGCAGTTAGGTGGACTTGCTCAAGACCACCAATAAAATCGATTAAAAAACTCCTATAATCCCATATGAACAAACTTAAAGGCTGAGTAAAGAGAGGGACGTGGCAAATGAAACGAGATCACAATCCCATTTGTGGAAATCATGGGATGCCAACCCCCCACAATCTCAATTGCACAAATGCCACATCTATCAGAAAATGAAATCTGTAAATTGGATTGACTTGATATTCAATTGGTATCCAGAGCGGGGAAGCTGAATGAAATCTGACCACAAAATCTGTTGAGATTAAGCTCCAAAAATGAAATTCTCATATGTGCCTAGTCCTATTGGGAAATTCATCCACCATGGCTTCTTACATGCAAACCAAATCAGGGATAGAGATTAATTGAAATCATAGCTGGTATGCTTGAGAGCACTAGGAAGTGCCAGCACCATTTCACTAATAATCCTTTTGTGAGTTACAAACTGTAGATATGAATAAAATACCAAGGCTAACTAGCTGTTTTCTCCCCTGACCACTCCCGAGAAGCTCCAACCAAGATACTTTAGTTTTATTTTGGAATAAAAGCGACAGATACTGATTTTGAATTGACCACCCAGTTCTGAGTCGTTTTGCTTAAGAGTACATGTCCTCTCGTTTTGTTACTGCATTTCAAAGGTGTAATATTTAATAGTTAACCAGCTAACAGAGGGTTAAAAGAAGGAAAAGAGGAAAAGGATATGTGTAAGGAAATAGAATAAGCAACAACAGTTGCACTAGTAATAAACATTCTTGCTCTCACTCTGTTTTGCAGTACCCCCTGACTATGATCATGCTCTTCACCAGTGATCTCTACAGTCTCTTGAACTTCCTCAGTTTTGCCAGGTGGCTTTTTATAGGACTGGCAGTGGCTGGGATGATTTATCTCCGATATAAACGCCCTGATATGCCTCGTCCTTTCAAGGTAACCTCAGCAATGTGCCTGCTTTACTTAAATATTTTTCTCCAGTATTTATACCATCCCACCACTCCTCCTACTTCAGAAAAACAGGAGTGCCTTTTGGCTTTCTTTTAATAGAACATATATTCTTTTGTAGTTGTTCCCACAAGACCTTGCTTTCATATAAATATACCCATTCACTAAAGTGTTGCTTCAGGTATTTGCCTTCCGATGTTAGGTAGCAGGTGACTGGGAATATAGCTTTTTTAGTGTTGATGCCCCAGTGAAGCGACACCTCCCCCTCCCCAAATTCAGTTGGTGACAAATCTACAGTTGGTCAGGCAACAGCTTAACACAGTTGCCTTCCCCTGTGCATTTTAGGCAGTTCTTCAAATGAAATTTAAAGTATTTAATAGTTTATTTGGATGCTATTGTTAATCACTTTTGTTTTCAGAAAGCATCACCTTTGAAACCTGAAGCTCTTAATGTCATGTTTGTTTCAAAACACCCCAGATAGTATTATCAGTGATAATGGCAAGCGGTACAGAATTTCCCAAATACTTAACAGTTGCATAATTTTATTGGTTGCTGTTTCCACTACCACAATGGTATTTAATTTGGCAGTCTCCTGCAAGATTATTTATTGTACCTGGTGCAGCAAATCAATATGTACTTAATTGTTTTAAAAGGTAGCCTGTAACCCTGGAACCTTGCTTCACTGTAAAATTGATTCCAATGGGCAATTATAAAAGATGCCATCTTTGTTGCAGTTGCTCCTTTCCCAATCTAATAGAGGGCTGGGAAAGGGACTTAGCACTAGAAAGTACATTTACAAGTTGTTTGGTTTAATGCTGTATAGCAGTGTAGTGTTCATTTGTGGGTAATTAAGCAGCTGCTGGGATGCCTACTGAGCAAAGGTGCATTTAATAGGCTTTCTTTAGCTCCGCACATTTGGAATGCCTGCCCTGAACACCTGTATTTCTGCAAGACTTGTGGTGTGCTAGTTCCAATTTACATTTCATGGAACATTAAATACCGGTGTCACTCAAAGCCAAGGTCAGGCTATTGCAATAACATCATTTGGTGTTTTTCAGGTGCCACTCTTTATCCCTGCCCTGTTTTCCTTCACCTGTCTCTTCATGGTTGTACTATCACTTTATGCTGACCCTGTCAATACTGGCATTGGTTTTGCAATAACACTGACTGGAGTTCCTGCCTACTACCTCTTTATCATATGGGACAAGAAGCCAACATGGTTTAGAAGGTTCTTAGGTGAGTGACTTTTAGAAGGAGATCTCTCTCTTTCACTCTCTTGGTGTTTATACAGAATTTAGAATGACTCTATAGTCTGGTTCACATATGATGCCAACTCCACAGTTTATTTAATCCTACCCTACCCAGAGTTTGTGTGGCAGATGATTGAACAAACTGTGGTTTATTTTCACAATCTTGGGGTTGTTTGCCTTGTTTCTTCCATTATTCCCTCTTTCCATCCCAAATACCATTGTAGTGCTGTTGTGCTGGCATACAGAGTGGATGGAATTTTTTAAAACTACTGTTACCTCTTATCTCTGAAGTTTGGTGAAATAGCATAGTTCTGTTTTTACATGGAATGAGAATCAATAGCTAAGCAACCCAGGATTCACCATCCAACAACAAATCAAGGGTTCTTATGCAGGGTCTTAACAAACTATAGTTTGTATATGTGGCCATGTTCATACAACACAACAACCTAGAATTCAACAATCTGTAGGATGGGTTAGGGTTATTAACAAGGCCAGTAACCAAATTTGGTTCTTGTCTCAACTATCCTCATTTCTGCAGGAAACTAACTTTTTAATTATTTTGATTATCAACTTTTTCTGTCAGTTAAATAATAAAGATGTAAGAATCTAGCCTTGTTCTAATATAACATGTTATTCATAGATCATATTTTGAAAGAAAATCAATTTCAAGTTGGTGAATTTCCCCTGAAATCCCATTCCCCTGAAATCTTCTATGTATATGACAATTACAGAGCTGTTTTCACTTTTAAGAATAGCTATATAATTGACATATACATACACAGCCACTTGCTGTTTTGCTAGTCAGACCAAAGTATCTGTCATTTTTGTGGTTTATGAGTCTTAATCATTGTGGTAGATCCCCAGTGAAACAAGTATATGGGCATGTGTGCCTGAAGTATAGCTATCCCAGCTTTTCTGAATTTTACTTTGTCTTGCTTTATATTATGAGGTACAGTGTTGGAGGAACAGAACAATATTCTAGGGAACATCCCTGGGCTGAAACTACTGTGCAGTACTAAATTGCTTTCCACATTAGTTGCTTAGAAATAGTCGTATACTCTAAGGAAACAAGGTTCCATTTTGTCAAATTCACAACTGTAGATATATCTGACTGAAGCAAAGGGCCTATGGCTCTGTCCAAACAATAATGGATATTTAACTGCTATTTGACCTTAGCAACACAATCAACACTTAACTTGATCTAACTTTTTATGTTGCGAATTGTTTGGATCAGAGGACGTCCATATTTTTTCCTAATGCTCTACCTTAATCTGGTCTTTCTTGTTCACTGTACGGAATCTTGACATCAGAGTTTTGGTTGTAGTATGTCACCCTTAAATCATGCTGTGAACACACATAGTTAATGCCTGATCAGTACTGGTCACCTATTAGGAGATGTCAGTATCCACCAATATTTCCACGATCAGCACTAAATTGTACATGTGTTACTCTGTTCATCAGTTTTCATCAACAAACGTTTTTACTGCTCCATTTCTGCCTAATCTTATGCATACCAGTCTTTTTCAAAATAGTGGGGTGTTAAGGGGCATTACATCTATGGAAGGGGATTTTTACATTTAATCCTAAATATGGTGTGAGGATGTTGATGTTATTTGAAACCAGAGTGTACACCTTTGCCTTACCAGGAATGACCCACAACTAAAATCCTTACCTTTGTACTGCAGCTTGCCTTAAGGGGGAAAAACCCATTAGCTCCAATGGGAGTTTTAATTCCAAGATTGGGCGGAAGGTTTCATTAAGATTCTGACTGGGGAGGGAAAGGTTACATTGAAAGCTTGGCTCCCTGAGAACTGTGGTTCTGGTAGAAAATACATTTCAGATTTTTCTTCCTTTCTTTTTTTCTTAAAAAAAGCCCTTTACAATAGCTGCAACATGTGCTTTGTCCCTGAGAACATGATGCAGAAAGGCAAGGGGAAGTCACCTGAGTGAGGAGTGCTGATACAGAAACAGGTTCCAAACTTCTAACAGCTATTTGCAAGTATTTATCAGGGCTGGATCTATGCCAAACCTTTATTGAAGTACTGTATTAGTGGAGTCACTCCCAGGACACAATAATCTCATTTTCTGTATCTATCACACTGTTCTGAACAGTATTTCAGAATTTTCAGGGCCAGCTTATTTTTACTTTTCTCCTTGCACTTCACCTGCATCAGTATGTGTGTGCATCAGTATGTGTGCGCTCACCTGGCACTGTTGTCTTCCCTGTGCGCACCTGTGTGTGTGTGTGTGAGATGGGTAGAGGGGGAGGAAAGGCATCTCCTTTGGGCTCAGCAGAACAGGGCAGCAGCTCAGAGATCTTTCCACTGCATTACTGTCTCCCTTTTCTCCCCCCACTGCCTGGCTTCTGTCTCTGACTTACAAACGCTCCCTCTGCTGCCCTCCCCTCTGCTGCTGGTTGTCTGCAAAGGTCTTGCAAGGAAATCACAGTGACTTCAATGGAGCGAATGGGTGGGACAATCCTCCTGGGAAGGAGCTTGCTTTTCACTGGCGGGGAGGGGGTACTGGTTTCACCTCCTGCATCTTTCTCCTTATCCATGGCTTTCTCTTTTTCTGCTGTGGGGCAGGCAAGAGGAACTGTTAGTTCTTTTTAAGTTGAATATCTTTGCTCTTTTGGGTCTTCTCACCTGTGCATAGCTAACTTGTGGAAAAGGGCACTGCTCTTTCCACATGGGAGAGGGCTGTAACTTGCTTGCTTTGGGGTGGAAAGAATGGGGGTGCTGATGCTCTCATTGGCATTACCATGTGGGGTTGGGAGGACAGGAACAAGCAGCCAGCACTCTTTCTCCTCCTTTTTTTTGGGGGGGGGGTGGGGAGAGACAGGAGAAGCTATAATCCTCTCTTTTCAATATCTCCACACTTTGCTTCCTCACTCTTTCCCTCCTTCACATCTGTGCACAGCTAACTGAGCCAAAAACAAAAACAAAGGCATGTTACAGGGCCATTTCCCTGCACACATCTGTTTTCCAACAGTTCCTGTCACGTTCTCAGTTGGCAAATGCACTGAAACAGCAACACCCACCAATAATGTGAGGTGATGCAGAAAAACAGCATGAATGCTGCGGACATCCCATGAAAGCCTTGCATGTGTATTGCAGTAAGGAATGCAGGATGCGGATAGCAGTACCATGATGAGATCTGAATGAAAGGACGTTAGGTGTGGCTCTGGTCCAGTAATCAGAACTGTTATTAATGAATTTTACCCTTCTATTTTGTGATCTGAAATAAAATCCTTCATGAATGTTAAAGAGCCATAGTAGATCAGACCAATGACCCGTCTGTAGTTGCATTTAATAAGGAAAAGTTTTTTTTTGTGGGGGGGGGGTTGATTTGGATGGGGGAACCAGAGATTTTTTAACCTGCCTTCTGTGCATGGCTTTTCTGCTCCAAAGCACCCTCTAGTTGTTTCTACTTACCCTCTTCAGTGTTCTAGATAGCATGTTTATTCCTGGGGAAAACAACAACCAAACCTCTGGCAGTGTGTAGGCAAACAAGAAGTGGCAGATCTTCAGAAGAGCAGAAAGAGAATTATGCAAGCCATTTAGAGTTCTCAAAAAATAAGAAAGGAAAGGAGTGGGATGTAAATCAACTAACTAAATAAATAGTAGAAGGCCACAGGTAGGGCAAGGGAAAAATTCCCTCTGTGTGCAACTCTTTCATTTCAAAATGCCTTTTCCTTAAGTTTCTTTTCCCTACAAATGTGAGGGCCTTTTCACAAGCAGTGGTAGAAATGTATAAGTCTATTAAAAATAATGAAGACAAAGGAATGCTGTTAAATACTACAGGTTTTTTTTTTTTTAAATTTAATAGACACTTCTTCAACAGTGCAAATTCTTGATCTTTTTAAAGGTAGTTTTCTCACCCCTTCCCCCAAGAATTAAAGACATCTGGAATATATAAACACAATTGGTTCATTGTTCAAAGAGGATACATTGCAATGCGAACGCCTGTATAATAAAATTGGGAGAGTTCTAATGATTTGTGAAAAATGAACTTTTCTGTGCATTCACTTAGGGCATGAACCTATGGCCTCCTGACATCACTTGGGGGGGGGGGTGGGACATAGGATAATTTAGGGCTCCAGGGTTCTATAACCTGGGACTCCATGCTTACAGCCTGCATGGAAAGAAAATCAGAAATTAGCCTTGGAGAGGAAGAAAAGAGGCACGCTGTGGACGGGGAGGGGAGGAAGCCGAGGCCACTGTATCCAGATGGTGCTCCTGCCTCCTTTCTTCCTCACTTGTAGCCATCTAGCTGAAGTGCAGGGCTAGGAACGGGGTGGTGGAAATCACAGCTGCCATACCACAGGTTGTGCACTGGATATATATAGGGCCCCAGGCTTAGAGGCTCACATGTGGAAGGCATAGGATTTCACTCTTATTACTCTACTTCAAGCTGCCCTTAAAAGTAGAAGCCATTCAAAATAGAGAACTTAAAAGTACATGATCTGAAAATAGCTCCCAATGAAGTCAGTATTATAATTTGTGGAATGATTTTTCTATACAGTGCAAATTTAAGGATATGAATCTGTCCCTCTTAATATGTTCAGTAACTATTGTAAAATAAAATATTAGTTATTAGCTAGTATATGTACATTCTTGCTTCTTGCATGCACAATTTTCTTTAAAAGCATTAGATTTAAAAATGAGTGTTGCATTATACAGGAATTGCTCCAGGTTCCTTTTTTATTTTTTAAATTCTTGGGACTAAAGCAAGGGAAGAGATTTCATCTTCCACCTGGTAGTCATAATTTCCAAAGGCTTTTGAACATCATTTCATGAATCCGTATGGCCACAGGATGCCAGTATTGAACCGTTTTATTCAAGCAGAAAGAAAACACTCCTTTTAAGGAGATTATTGGAGAGGCTTGACTTCTGCTGGCTGTGACAATGCAGCTGATTGTCTGAGGCCTATGGAAACCACTGTTTTCTTTGGCAGGAGAAAATACCTGTAAGTGATGTGACCCAGGCTAGACAATACAGGCATTACTCTGTGGGTTAAACAGCTTGTTCACTAGGAATAGTTTTGACTGTGGTGCCATTGTCAGCAGGGCTACTTATCAACACAAAATTAGTTTGAACATTAAAGGAGCTAGACATGGTGCTGAAATCCACCCCCAAAAAAGGTTTAGCACTCCACTGAAATCTGGAGTGGATACATAGCCCCACTGACATTGGAGCCTTCAGATTCTACTATGAAGAATTACATAGTACGATTCTGTGTATGTCCATGCATAGTAAGCCACATTGAGTTCAGTGGGCTTACTCTCAAGTAAAGGATTGTAGGCTGATATGTTACTCCTGGCAGTCTAGTGATGACTATCTAGTTCAAGGCATGCCTATGTTTGGGATGCTTCATGGGGTCATTTGTTAACTTTTCATGGCTATTGACAGTATCATTCTACAGTGAACCACCGGCCTATTTAGGAAGCATTTCTTAAGGCTTAATTTAGACTAAGTTAAGGGAGTGTATAGAAAGAAAGTTTCCTGTTCACTCTTTCCACAGCACCCCACCTCACTTTCTTTAGCAGGCACCCCAGTTCCTTTGGAGAGGCTTCTGAGGAGTCAGTGAGGATAGCAGGATGAAAAGCACTGCTTTTGCAAACTGTCTTAAGTTGACATAGATTAGAGTACTCTGCCCCCACTGATTCCATTGTGCCAGCTGGACCCACTGCTTGTGCAACTCTGATTTAGTGCTTCACATGACAAGATCCAAAACATGTACTTTTGTTCCAAGCTCTAAAACAGGCACTTTCACAACTAGTTGAAATATTGGTCTAGCGGCACTTGAAATGATAAATGTTAGGATCTTAACCATTCGGTTAAGCAATTTTTTCATTTTAAAATGTATTTTCTTCCTGGAATACAATTATTACTATTGGTTCAAAGATCAATTGCTTTGTTAAATATAATTATATCTGCTTAACAAGTTAAAGTTTAAAGCCCTTAAAAATAATAACATGGATAACTGGGTTGTTACTTCATACATTTAAATATAACATATAATTAAACTATCCAAGAATATTTGGTTGTCCATCCAATTTGTATATCTAGACTTTGTGCTTCTGATGTTTGATCTTATTGTATATGAATAATATTCTTTTCTATCTGAAAGGATGCATTGCTATACATATGTATGTCCCAGTGGTCAGCTAAGTCTGAGCTGAGACAGAGATAAGTCTCACAACTAGTAGTATGCTTAAGGCAAGCCAACATGACGTTTCAATGGTATGTTGCATTGTTCTTTCCAAAAGACCTTTTGCAGAAACTTTGGGGAAAAAAAATTCTTTTCTTTTTTTGTTTTTTACAGGCAGGATAACATCAATGCTGCAAATAATCTTGGAAGTAGTTCCAGCAGAGGAGAATCCAAGATCATGATCTTCTATTACTGGATAAAACCATGTTGACAAAGCATCCAGTTTCTTCAACAGTTAAAGAAAAGAGCTTCTCAACATTTCCTGGAAAACTTGGAGAAATGATTTAAATGTAATTTTTCAGTTGATAGGTCATAAGGACTATATATGGAACTGTTTTTGGTATCATTTTTTTTAATATATGTGGTTGTTGGATACTAACGATAAAGCCAACAGTCTTGATAGCAGAGACTACTAAGCTGTTGTGGAACAAAGAGGATCTTCTCCTTTTATGAGAATGCAGTCAATGTGATATTTATGATATATTGTATCATACTTGAGATCCAGTTTTTCACATTGATGTTTTATATTGTAGCACAAATGAACATTTGTTTAAGAATGTTCAAGATAGCTAGAAGTATGCATGATGGTTGCAATCTGTGTATTGGGTCTAATGGAAGACAGGAGCAAAAAATGTACGAAATACAAATCAAAATTTTGCCATCTTTTTTAATATCCCCCTTTATGTTTCATTGTGAACACTACTGTACTATAAATGTGTACATTCCATTTACCTTCTTAGGTTTAGGAGGTATGCATGGGCATCCTGATGCTGTCAATGAGCATAATGGTTGACAGATCAAGAGGTACTGTCAGTATGACTAATGCTGCCAGAGGTACAATAGTATCCTGTGTAAGGTCACTTGGGCATGGTTTGCTGTACTGTATTGTGTCTGAGTTGTAAATTGATACAAATGTGTTTATATCTGATATTGTTCTGAATTACTGGTGACACTTGATGCCATTTGGTTACCAATAAGCCTTCAGGAAGGAATGTGTATTGCCTTCAGTGCTGACACCAGATTTACTATGGTCTGCCCCATCTCATTGGCACAGCAAAAAAGTGTGTGCTCTATGGAGCAGCTGTGTCAAATCTGAGCAGCTGCACCTGTGCCATATTTTGAGATAACCACTGGCACTAGCTTACTATATTCCTGTTTTTCCGGCAGACCACATAGTATATCCAGTATGTTATAAAAATGCATAGGATTGGACCAAATGGGAGGTTGGCATTTCCTGGGTATTTTTTAAAGTGTAGAAATGCAACATAATAGGTAATGATTATGGTGTCTTTCATTTATTATGAATATGAAATATTTTCCAGTCTTACCTGTTTGTTTTAACTATGGCAGCTACAAAGACTTTGGGCTACTGTTTCCCAATGCTAAATGGCAAAATGGTTTTGAAAGTGAGGTGATATTTACAATGCAGTGTGTTAGATGATATTGGATTCTGCTTTTCATACTAGAAAACACCCTTATTCCAAAGGCACTCCATTTGGCCTCACAAGGCTTTGTGGCCGTGGATCTCATCTCATGTCTTTCTTCCAAGTTTACAAACCATTCAGTGATATTTTCTCCCTTAATATTTCCTATCTTTTGATGGCATCTTGAGTTAAAAATCTTAATTGTCTGCACACTCATTTTGAATATCACAAGCTCTCTGTACAGCTTCTATTACATGATAATGCTTGCTGTCTACCTACCTACCTCATGATAAAAGCAATAACAAAGTCATATGAGAATAATTGTTGTCTTGAATTGGTAATCCAACATTTGAGGATAGTCATAGTCAGGATCTGGGACATGGGCGGCCGGAGACAAGACAAGAGCAAGAGAGGCACCAGAAAAGGGCAACAGAACTTCAGGGTTGTCTAAAGCAGGGTTTAATGGAAAGGCCAAGCCATAGTGATGGTACAGGTCAATGCCAAGACCCAGAAGAATGCATGGAGGCAGAACAAGGATGTGATCAGGAACAAGCCAAGGATTGAGAACCAGGCGGACAGAGGTGCAGGACCAGATAACATGGTGGGGGACATGGCATGGCAGGATGCACGAGACAACAGGAACCAGATGCAGCAAGGGTCCCGCAAGATGTAGGAACTGAACCACAGCTCGCAGGGAGCCCTATGCTACTGAGACAACACGCCAAGGCAGGATACACAGGCAAGGCAAAATGTAGGTTAGGCACAACAGTGAGGCAACATGGCAAGGCAGGAGATACAGCAGGAGCAGGAAAGGTCACACAGGATGCAGCTACAGCGGAGCAAGGGGCACCTGTGTTGCCAAGACCAGTTCTGGAAGGAAGAACTTGCTCCTATATAGCTCATCTCCCAGGACTCCCAGCTGGTGTCCTTCAGTAGAATGAGAGCTCCAGCAGGCCTTGGGACCAAGCCTGCAAATATAATGGTGGTGGTTGTTCTGGTTCTGGCCACCAGAACAGCCCAGAGCCTGACAGTTATACATCAGTTGGAAGCATAATATTCAAAGGCATTATCATTACTATTCTGGACCAAATTTAAATAATAGGAATGCATGCATTTTCGAAGGATGTTCATCTTCAAATTCCTCTTCCTTAAACCATCAATGCCAGTAAATATATTTTCAAATTTATCTAGGCTTCTCGTTCCAGTTTCCTTGCAGTTTTGTTATCATCATCCTATTTACTGTGTTGCTTTTTTGCAGCTTTTGTAGCAAACAGGTCTTTTTTTCACAGACAGTAGCCCTAAGTGTTAACTTGGAATTGGCAGTATTCAAACAGACTCTAGCTACTGTATGTTGACAGCTTCTGTCTTTCTTTTCTTTTCTTTTCTTTCTTTCTTTCTTTCTTTCTTTCTTTCTTTCTTTCTTTCTTTCTTTCTTTCTCCTCCTCTACTTTTGCAGTTGGAAGCATAATATTAAAAATATGTTTGAGACATCACTTTTTAGTAGAATTGGTGGCACCCATGGAGGTTCTGTGTCCTTAGAGAAATTTCCTCCTTCATTAATTGTGTACTTTCATATTCTGTACACAGTGCATAATTTGTAAAGTAATAGTGTGACTTTTAGAAAGGCACACAAGAGACTTATTAGTCTAATTAATAATTCCATTGCATGAATATTTACAGTCATTATAATAATACAAAGCTATATTAATGAGGTTTCCACTGTGTGATAAAACAAGGAGAGTGGGTTGCAAAGACATGCCTAGTTGTACAAAGCCAAGAGAGTAAACAAAGTTGCATGTAAAATAGGTGGCTAGTGTTCAGCAGAGTAGTGGAGACTGAAATGCGAAAGCTCTGACTGGATGTGCAAGGACAATGGAGCCCATTGAACTGGGGTTATATGGTAGGCATAACACAGCTGCAACATGGGCTGCGTCTGCAAAGGAGATGATTGAACAGGGGTCAGGATGGGTGGGAGAACACATCTGTCCACCCGATTGCTTCCAAAACTATTTTTCTGCTCCTTAAGGGCTTACTTTCAGAGCCTGACCAGAAGAAATGTGGTTGCTGGGATGAATTGGTAGGATTAAAGTGGCTAGCAGAAGAAGGATGCAGCACCCCCTCATCCCTAAATTTCCTTAGTTTTAAATCCCGCCTAATGTACAGCTTGCAGGACTGTAGCTATTACGTCTAATTATGGCTGACGTATGAGAACAGATCTAATTAAATACGTCAGTGGAGCACCACAAGCAAGAAGGATCTGCAGTTTGCATCAAACAAGGCCTTAGAGACCAATCTTCTAGAGCCACTTACATGAATAAGGATGGGAAGATCTAATGCTGAAAAGTTATATCCATCTCCATTTACTATCCATCTGTTGCTTCATTGCTGCCCTGCACAATGTGGTCAGATTTGGTCCTCAGCACCTCTAGAATAGTCTGCTGCTACAGCAGCTAATTCACTTCTTGGTGAATTATCCAGAGATATTTGGTTGTTGGGCAGTATGGAAAATTAATAACACATCTCAGCTGCAACTAGGCGCTCTCTCTCTCTCTCTCTCTCTCTCTCTCTCTCTCTCTCTCTCTGTGTGTGTGTATATATATGAGAGATTGAGTATCACTTTGTAAAACAACACTTTATTTAAGTGTGATACTATAAATATTGGCCAGTAGTATTCTTGTTATTAATGGACTTCTATGGTACAAGTCTATGCATGGCTACATAGAATAAATAAATCCTATTTAATACAATAAGAGTTACTTCCAGGTAAGTGCATATAGGATTGCAGCTCTAGCATAAATGTGTATAGAATGAGTAAGGCACAGATCAGCCTACACTTTGATTTAAAAGGCATTTACCTAGAGATAAACCCCATGAGTTTTAATGGAAAGTATATCAAAGAAATAGTGCTTAAGTTTAGAGCCTTAATGTTCCTAGCATTTGCACTAGTTTATAGACTGAGACTAACATTTAAATGTAAAACAGATTAATTGCATATTTTTCAATGGTCTTGTCCAGCTCATTAATATTAGTTCTGTGGGTTTATTTTAATTGCATGCAATTATTGTAAGAATGGAATATATTTGGAAATGCTGAGTACATTTCAAGATATTCAAGCACTTTTATAGATCTTGAAAAATGAGATAGAATGGCTTGGAAACTTGCATATACAGATACCTTGATCTAACCTGAAGTCCTGGATCCAGACTTGGCCTTACATATATTATACCTATTGCAATCAGTGGGGAAAGTTCATAATTATGACCAATGTAAATCCTAAAGAAAGATACTAAGAATGATCCTGTCCCTGCCTGAGCCTCTGATTGTTGCAGCCTCTGACTATCAATTCCCTCCTCAAGTTTTTGCTTGAAAGGGCAGGAGATGTGAGGTATTTAAGAAGCAACCAAATGTCAAACATCCACAGTAAAAATAGAATGCTTATCAAAATGACACTACTGAGATATGCTAGATTTAATAACGAATACAGTGACAATTGCATGATCTCACCTGAATCTGGAAAGAGAATGTGTACTATTTTATGGATAACCTGTTGATAGGAAATATAGTGATCCATTTGTTACAATGGCATAATATAACCACTAGATGTATGAGCTGAGAGTCTGTGATCATTTGAATGTTATTGGTCATGTTTGTGGTTTTCAGAATTATTCTTTAGAAGCTCAGTGACCATTTTTATTGCCCTATTCAAACCATTTTTATTAGCAGTTATTTCTGTGGATTTCCTATATTCCCAAGACACAGGACCTCCAAGCCGATTAGTTACATATGGAGAAGCTGTTTGCTGTGGATAACCAGGATGTGGAAACTGGTGCAACAAAGAAGGATAGGTTTAATGATCACATGGAGGCTATTTGATCGCTAAATAGTAAAACTTATAGGCTGTCCCATATTGCAATGGTAGACTAGAGACCTTTGAATGACTAGCATTTTTAAGCAATCAGTACTGCAAGTTCATCCACACATATTGGCAGAAGGGATACCGTCATGGCACATAACACATCCAGGGTTCATGAATATGGTTCTACAGCCCCTTGGAACAAATCCTACATTTGCTAATTGAAGGGGTGCAGCTAGGTAATTTTAGACTCAGAACTTAATGATCTCAGAAGGAGCACACTGAACAGCCATGCATATTATTATTAAATACAGAGCTAGCATATTTCTTTTAAAAACTGCCATGTTGTGCTTTACAATGGCATTTCTAATATATTACAATGACAGCAGGAAAACGGGTGGCCTTCCCTAATTTTTTTTAAACAACAACCGTTCTGAGCATGTGCAATTTTGCAGTTCAAGTTCACTTAAATAATTGACATAGTGCCATCATGACTGCAAGGATAGAAAGGAATTTCCTTTGGAGCTCTGAACTTTGGACCTGCGATCCAGTCCTAGATGCACCACTAATTATTATTTTAAGTATGGGTGATATTAAACTTGGTTTGTGGGATCCTTTAATATTACTTGGGAGCCAAATGATTAGA